TATATATATTCATAATTTTGTTTAGATCCTTTTTTAATTTTGGTTGTATTGTGATTATATAATTTTATTTATATGGCTGTTCTCATTTATCTATTACTTGAGTTGATTGTATTGTAATTGTTTTTCATTTTATTAATTAAAATAATTATTGATTTAATAACACCTCCTTAAAATTTTATCAACTTTCTATATAAGAATAAGGAAAACAAATTCTTATGAATATAATAATATACTGATTACATAGAATTTATTAACAATATATAATTACAATTGTGACAATTTATGTTAGGTTACTTTATTGTATTTTGTATGGATGCAAAAAATGAGAATAATTTTTATTTTTAATATACTTTCTCCATTTTAACACTCTTTGTTGTGTTTTTGTGGTGTTTTTTCGTGTGTTTTCATGCTTTAGTCGAGTCTTTTTAGGTTCATTTTGGTGTCAACCGGTCCATTTTGTCGTGTTTTATGTATTTTCGCTTTCGTCTTGTGTTTTTGCGTTTTAGCGTATTTTCTTGTCTCTTTTGGTATTGATTAGGTCCATTATGCAAGTTTGGGAAGACGAGTCGTCCGAGCCATCCGAGCCATTGTATATGTCTATTATTCTGAGCCATCTCGAGAAGAGCTATTTGAGCCATTTGATCGAGCCACGACATTCCGAGATCATTTCGGGCCATTGTCGAGACCTGCACTCGCAGCGAGTCACAGTCTGCAAGCACGCGAGAGGTGCCGAGACATGACCCGAGCACTCGCCATGAGTACCGGTCTGCGACCGCGCGAGTCAACTAGACACCACGCTAGACACTCGCAGCGACTACCCGTCCACGACCGTGCGAGTCAACAGCCAAGATAGCACGCGGGACACTCGTCGCGAGTCCCGTCTCTCCACCGCACGAGAGAGCCTGCGAGACGACCCGCGAGACCCGAGACGCCATCATGCTGCACTCACAGCTGGTCGCTGTTTGCGACCGTGCGAGACGACCCGCAAGATCCAAGAGCAGACACGACACTCCCAGCGAACAACGGCTCGCAACTGCGCGAGTTACAGCCGCGAGAGACTCACGCCACCTGCTACACTCGCAGCGGCGGTCCGCGATTGCGCGAGTCCCGACCCGAGGCGACCTAGCACTCGCAGCGAACAGCGGTTCGCGACCTGGCGAGTCCCGATTTGAGGCAGTCCAACACCTTAGGGTGCGTTTGTAAACCAATAAATTCACTCAAAGTGAGTTTTTTTAGTTATGGTTAATTTAGAAACAGTGGTATAGTTAGTTGTTAGTGGAATTTTGAGAATAAATTGAAATAATATTTATAATAAAATTTGATGTAAAAGTAGGAGAGAGATTATATGAAGTGATGGTTAGTTAAAATCATGTGAGTGGATAAACAATGAATTAAAGGTGATATGATGTGTAAAAATGATTGGTTGTTATTGTTTAATTAAATTGATAATATTGACGATAGTGGGGTTGAGTTAAAGTTGAGTTAGATTTTGAGTATGGATTAATTTGGATTGAGTAATTTGGTTTACAAACACACCCTTAGCACTCACGGCGAACACCATTCTGTTACCCAACGAACCGCAGTTTCTCATTAAGATGAGCAGGAACTCAGAGCAGGCATCTTATTAACCGACGCAAAAGCTCGTAACTTATGTACGCCGATCGACCAATCTGAGCTGAGCTCCTGGCACGACTGGTAAATTAGCTTTCCGAAAGGGTCGGACCGAGGAGACAATGTGCTTGAAAGAAGTGTGTGTTTTAGGGAGTAGTATAAACGCCTTGCATTCATTTGGCTTGTTTTTCTCTTTTGGATATTGCTTTTTTCTTTTATTTTCTCTCTAGTCTTGTCTTGTGGAGGCTTTAACTCTTATTTTTTGGCGATTTTTCCGGCGATGTTTTACTATTGCAAGTTCTAACCTTTTTTTTGTTTATTTCGTTCGAGCATGCATTAGTGAAGTAAGTACCTAGTTTTAGGACTTGCTATCTCGGTTTTTGCGCTATTTTACTTACTTTGTTTTAGAGGTAATTTAGTGTCTCGTTCGATTTTGGCGTGTTATGGTCGTTTTTAGTTTATTTTGTTAGCTTGTCTTTTATTTGGCTCTTTTAGTGTATTTGAGTAGTTTAATGTTCAAATCTTAAAAAAAAAAAAATCGAAACTTCGTTTTAGAGTTCGGTGATTTCGTAGTTAATCTTTTGACTTTAACTTTTAAGTGTGTTAGTTGTAGTTCGTTTCTCTTTGTTTTTGTTTTTTATTGGATTTTGAGCACTCCGTCTTTAGTAAAGCTTAGGTCTTTAATTAAAGTTTGCATCTTTAGTTAATCGCTTTTTAAATTTTTAGTCTAAATTAGTTAATAAACCCCTCAAATAAATTGTTTAGAATGTTTTAGGACTTTATTTCCCCTTTTTGTGCATTTGACAAAGAATTAAGTGAACAAAGCTCCGAATAGTCTTGCTTGAGAGACAACCTGAGGTTCGAATAAATCGGTTATCAACGTATTCCCCTAAAAATCAACTTAACAAATGATGCCGTTGCCCGAGAAGGCAAGTAGTATGCCAAGTTTACTTATTAGTTGATTTTTGTTTCCGTATTTCTCTTGATTTTTGTACTTTTTGCTTAATTTCCGTGTTTCTCTTGCTTCCTCTTGTTTTTAGTAGTTAGTTTGTGTTTATTTCTTGTGATTGGTTTCTTGTTTCCCATTGGTGCCTTCACGGGTATAATTTCTTGTTTGTTTGTGTGTATGCAAGGTAGACGAAGGCGTGGTACTCGAGAGGAGACACCTTCGATTGATCTATACATTGAGCTTAACATAGACAAGACGCAACCGGAGCCGGAAACCATGGCGAACCAAGAGGAGCAACTACCACCTCCGCCTCCGAACATGAGATATTTCACGCGACCCATTATTGGAGATAACACTTCTTGTATCGTGCTCGGAGAGGCGACTCGAAACCATGATTTAGAGACTATCCATCTCAATCAATTACCCTCCTTCTATGGCTTACCTCAAGAGGACGTCCTGAACATCATACGAGAATTCTATTCGATGGTCAATACATTTTCTCTACAAGGCCTCAACGAGAACAGACTCCGGATGCGGTGTTTTCCATACACTTTGAAGGACCGGACGAAGTCGTGGTTCATGACCCTTCTTCCGATCTCACTTATCAATTGGGAGATGGTATAAGAGAAGTTCATGAGGAAGTACTAGTCCTACCAAAAAACGACGGATCTTTGGGCCCAAATGGCGAGTTTTAGTCAAGCTTCCTGAGAGATTTTCTATGAGGCGGCGGAGCAGTTTCAAAGGTTATCAACTTCAATGTCCCTACCACCACTGTTGCCTCTGAGTTTTGAATCAATTCTTCTACGACGGTCTTCATCAAACATCGCAATACATGGTAGACCAAGCGGCCGGAGGAGATATTGGAAGCCATCTGGAATGGTACGAATTATAGCATTAATAATGCATGGCATCGAGAGTGCCCCAACTCGGCAAAACTCTTACCAGACCGTCACAACCAACACCACTCCACAAGGAATACACCACTGGGAAAACTCCGGGGTCCCGCGCCACTCTCGCCCGCCTCACGATCCGGCGAGCACGGCCTCAAACTGCCGCCGTCGGAGAACTTCCCCTCCTCACCACAGAGAAGCCGAAAGAAGCCAAAAGGAAGGGGCAAAGATCAGCGTTGACCACCACCCCTCCACCGCAGCACGGTAGAGACGCCCCTTGCGGCAGAGATAGACGGACACCGAGAACGAGCCACGACCTTGGAGCCAAACTTGTCGCGAAGATGCGGCACCTCCGCCGGAGGGAGGCAATCTGGACGAGATTAGGGCAACCGGACAAGATTGGGGATTTTGGGGTTGGACAGAGAAAATATTTTAAGCTTTCTAATAGTCGAACCTGAAAGGTCTGAATTCACAGATGAGCACCAGTTAGCAATTTTTTTTTTTTTTATTTATTTTTAACAACGCCATAATAGGGTGGGGGGTTAAGGCCGAACCCCCAACCTGAATATATAAATGGCCTAAGTGGGCCAAAAAGTCACAAAACTACAAGTTCAATTTCTGATATACATCCAGTCAAACGAAAGAACAAAAAAAAACAACAAAGAAAAGAAAAAATACAGAGAAAAGCTGACAACTGCAGCGAGAAATATGAGAATAACATGTCATGTTCCGGGAGGAAGTCCCGACTAGAAAGTCAGCATCACAGTGTGGCGGGTGCGCCAAAAGGTAGGCCGGATACACAAATCTGAATGAAGGATATCCCATCTGGTCCATCCGTATGAGGGTGCGGAGGCGGATAGGAATGTCGTCAGGGTAAAGAATGCGTCTGTGGGGGGGTGGAGGACCCGATGCCAGCGAAGAAGTCAGCTGGCCGGTTCTCCTCGCGGAAGATGTGCGAGATCCGGGAGCGAATTGACTGGAGAGTGGCTCTGATGCGTATGAGAGGATGTTGGATCTGCCACGTGCCCTGATGTCCAGATGACAAAAAAGTGATGACAGCGGCCGCGTCCAACTCTATCCAAATGTGAGAGGAGATCCACCAGTTGGCAGTTTAATTTGACAGGATTGTTTGTGTTTGCAGCGGAAAGAATTGATCAAAAACCAAGTACTGCTGTCTGTATCCAGTAGCATATATTCTTACATGCACGTCTCCTACTTTAATTTGACAGGATTTTTGTTCTAAATTACTTTATTTTAAAAATTTTGGGGTTTTTTTTGTTATGCTTTTGATAAGTTCTTTATTTCCAAAATAAAAATTCAAAATTGAAAACCCTAAAAAGTTGATCCTATACGAATCAAATTGGATATTCTAAATTAATAGATGAAGAAACAACTTCATTTCATACAATTTTGTTCAATCAATTAATTTTCCTAAAATTACGTGTTGGAGCATAATTTTTCTTGTGTATTTTTTTTAAAGAGAAAATTAAAATTGATGAATTTCAGTTTCTGTTTCTTGATCGATTCATATGTAATGAAAAACAAAATAGTTAAAAGTAGCTCCACAGGCTCTCGGCGTCGGAGTTCTCCGGCGAGTCGTCCGACGGCTCCGCCGCTATCCTTGGCGGGCTGACCATCATCCCTTCCGCCATATCCTTTAGCAAATTAGGCATGTCAAAAAGCGCCTCCACATCCACAAATTCTGTCCCGCTGACCAAAGTCTCCTCACCTGAAACTCCGGATTCCAGTCGCGCGCCAGCCTCCGCCTTCATCATCTCCGCCGCCTCCGCCGCCGCCCTGCGGATATCCGTCGGCGAGGGGGACGCCGGGACTGGGTACGCCCTGACGCGGTCTGGGAAGTTGAGGACCGCCGCGTCGCCGCCCTTGAGGGCCAGCGCCGCCACGTCGTAGGCGGCGGCGGCCATCTCCGGCGAGGGGTAGGTGCCCAGCCATATGCGGGTTGTCTTCTTCGGCTCCCGGATTTCTGATACCCATTTCCCGCTCCGGCTCCTTATGCCGCGGTATATCGGGTGTTTTCCGCCCGCCTGTCGGCCGCCGACGGCGGAGGTGCAGCACATGGCGGCGGCGGCGGAGGTCTTCTTCACCTTTTTCGGAGATGGTAGGGAGTCAGTTGCTATGGTTGGTTGGACGTGCAGCGATTGATCCCTTGGTGGGTTCTCAACGGTAGCTGGCGGCGGAGGTGTCGGCGGCGGCGGCGGAGGTGGTGGCGGTGGCGGCGGAGCTGGTGGTGGAGGAGGTTTCTGATTGGGGACTGGTTGACTCATGTTAGGATGATGTGAAGAGGTTGATCTGTATTTATATATATTGCTATATATGTATAGGAAAAAATAATAATAACAATAATGATAAGAATATAAAAGAAAAGCAAACATAAAAAGATTTATTATTGTCAATATAGTGATTATAGCAAAATAGGGTTTATTGTATGTGTTTTTCTAAGGCTGATTATAAAGAAAAGGAAAGGCGTGGGGAATTCGTGGGTAAAATTTGAGGAGAAAACAGGACACGTAAATCGTAATGGATCAATAAAAAGGACAGTCAAGTTATTAGCAGCAGATACACACCACACTCACACACGTAGAAAACTATGAATAGAAAGCTATGTATTAGCTGTATTCAATATTCATTCACAAACTCAAATATTAGTATTTAGGAAAAAGTTTTGCAAGTGTTCCTTATTGAAGACTTTGTGATGTGAAAAATATCTGGTTCAATAGTGTTTTGGTGTATATATATATATATGGTGTGTGTACCTTTTTAGCCACTTAATGGTGGAATATTTAATACTCACGTTGGTCAACCCGTGGGGTTGGCAGAGGTGGTGAAATCAGTGGCTCAGATAATTGTTATCAAATTTGGATCGAGTTGGACCGGTTTGGTTCGACCAATTTGGCCCCACGCAAGGATGACACATACAAATTGAAGAAACGATACTGCATTGTAAAAGTATGTGTCTAAACAACTATAATAGTTGTTTTGGTAAAAATTCAAAACTAGTTCGATAGGCATAGGGAGGTGACAATTTTGGTCCCAAAAGAAATTCAGAAATAAGAATAGTCCAATAGCTTTTAAAAAACGATCAAAAGTAAGACTTTTTTTGCCGAATTTACTATTTCCGGCCCGGAACGCCACGTCGCGCACATGTACGTGGCTTATTTTTTTACACGCTGGCATCCGACGTATTTATATTTTTATTACAAGCTGTGAGACTATTCATATTTTTTACATTCCATTTGAATAAAAAAATGTCACCCTCTATACCTGTGGGATTAGTTTTGAATTTTTTCCTACCTACATCGGATGCTAGCGTGTAAAAAAATAAGCCACATGTGCGCGATGTGGCGTTTCGGGCCGGATATAGTAAATCCGGCAAAAAAAAATCCTACTTTTTATCATTTTGAAAAGTTGTGGGACTATTCATATTTTCTGCATTTCGCCGGGACCAAAATTATCACCCCCTATACCTGTGGGACTAGTTTTGAATTTTTTTCTTAGTTGTTTTAATTGGATAAAACAACTATAATTATGATTTATTAATTTAAGTGGATTGAGTGAAAAAAGATGTCAGCAATAACGGATGAGAGATACATTATTTATTTATTTACTTCCCATTGAAAATGGGATATTACATTTACACCTTTTATTTTTAATTCAGTTGCTCAATAGGGGATGAGGAATAATTTATTTTTGTTTATTTATTTTTTGTAATTTTTTAGTTCACTAATTATGATTGAAATTCTCATAAACAAGCATTCAATCTTTTTAACGTATAAGCAAGGACTTAGGGCGTGCTTGGATACAAATATATTCGCTTTAAATGAGTATTTTTTTTTTAATCATGGTTAATTTTAAAAAAATATGATATTATTAGTTGTTAGTGGATTTTGATTTTATATTAAAATAATATTTAAAATAAAATAAATAAATTTAATTTAATGTAAAAGGAGAAGAGAGATGATGTAAAGTGATGGTTAATTAAATTTATTTGAGTGGATGAATAGTGAATTAAATTTGCTGTGATCTGTGAAAATAATTGGTTGATATTAGTTTATATTAAAATAATACTTAAAATAAAATAAATTAAATTTGATTTTATATAAAAGTAAGCATTAGGGAGTGATTGTTAGTTATATTTACGTGAGTGGATGAATAATGAATTAAACTTTATTTGATCTGCACGAATGATTTGGTGATATTATTTAACTATATTGATAATATTCAAGATAAAGAATTGAGAGTTGACCTAGATTTTGAGTATGAATTGAATTATTTGATATACAGCGCGTTTATAGTTCGTGCATATCTATTTATTAATACTATTTAGAATTTATATAAAAAAAATAAAATATAAAGTTAATTACATATTGTAAGAAAATGTTTATTTTTTCTATCAATTAGCTCTTAATTAAACGAGCTCGACTTGGCTCGACATGTTTACACCCATAATCATACTGAACAATATTACATTGATGGATTAGTTGATAGTTCACAAAATTTATAATTTCCAAAACTTGGATCAGCAGAGCTAAACTCAAAATTTAATCGAATGTGAGAATTTTCCCCTGAATAAAGTAACTAAGAAGGCTTAAAGAGTTGGGTTTGGCAAAACTTAATCGAATGGAAGACTTCTCGCCTGGAATAAGTAACTGAAAAAGGCCAAGGAGTTGTAAGAGTTAGGGGCTCAGTAGAACTTTGTAATTCGTTGAACTTAGTGGTGTTGTCGAAGTATCAGGTCAATTACCAAACAAATGCAAAATATATATATTGGCACAAATATCGGAAAATGGATAAAACAACATTGTTGTAAAAATAAAACGCCATCTGATTATTTAATTCATCCATCTTTATCATTTTATCCAATTATTACGCATTAATATTTCAATTGATATATAGACTGAAAAAATAGGGTCAACCTTACAATTTTGGTCTCCCGACAAGATTGAAAACGTGCCGTGTACTACGATTTACAATTAGACAGTTTTATTGTCAAAATATCATCCATCCACTTCTTTAGTTTGGAAGGATTGTTCATCTCTCTCTTCTTTTTTTTTTTTTTNGAAATTAGTTCTGGTCTTTTTAAAAAATAAAATAAAATATATGAGGTTTGAAATAGGATTTTGAATATGAAAGCGCACCTATTCTATTGTTAGTCGCCATCTCCAACCGAAAAATTCATACTCAAATCCATTTTGCAGTAACAATCACATTTTGCAGTAATCTCCAACCGAAAAACTCATTCTCAAACACAAAAGAATATTCTCAGAATATTCTATTTTACATCAACTTTTACAAAACTTTTCAATACTACCCACATATTTTACAACTTTATAAATTAACCATACTATTATTTTATATTCAATTTGGACTTTATGTAATAAAATTAATTATAAAGTTATAATCATATACATAATAAAATCGGAGAAATAATACATTAAAAATTAAAATTAAAAATTACAACACACAAGATAAAATTAAAAATTACAATGCACAAGATGATAATTTAAAAATTACAACACACAAGATAAAATTAAAATATTTTTCTTTAAACTGTGATCTATAATGTATTAGTGTTATTTCAATATGTATCAGTAATGTTGTTGTTATTTAATGTTAGTGTTTTCTTTTCTTGTTAAATAAAAATACCATAAATAATATATATATTTTATATTATTATTGTGAAATGTATAAAGTTAAATGATAAACATAATATTTATTATTTTAAATATTATACTATCTAATTTTTATGAAATTAATTCTTTTAGTATTTTACATTATTATTATTTTGAAAAAATATATAATTAATATTCATTAATTTGGTAGTATAAATGTCTTTTTTTATGTGTTAAATAAGCCTTTTTAATATTAATATGGTTTGTAAATTTTTTTAAAAAATATACTAATAATATAATAATAAAAAATGAATAAAACAAACAATAATTAATAATACTAAATATAATATATACACATATACACACACACACACACATATATATATAATATTATATAATATTTGGCTTGATATCTAATTTATATTAAATATTGGATCATTATGCAATTATTAAAAGTTCAAACGCAAAAGATTTGCGTTTCACCGAGGAGAGAGAAAGTCAAAAACGGATTTTGGGATGGGTTTTGCAGTTCGGTTGGGTCAAATTCCCCTCATTTTTTTTGCGTTATGCGAATCGGTTGAAGAAGGTCTAACAATCAAACCTTTTTAATGAAAATATGTAATTATAGTATGAAATGTCAAATTTGTTATATGATATTTAAGTATGACAATATATAAATTTATTAAAAAAATTATAAATGGCTAATCACTACACAGTCTAACAGACCATTACCATTAAAAGTGAATTGATGGCTCAAGATAGCCATTCTTTATTGACAAGGGTGCCATCATTTTTTGAAGAATCTCACAATGTACATACGACCATTTTTAAAGGATCGATATACAAAATTATTTGTCTTCTAAAATAGTATAAACATATAACTATTATCTTGAATTTTTTTATTAAATCTAAATGTTTTTCCTTGTACAAACATATACATTGTTTGTTTGGTTATAAGTTACGAATATCGTGAAATTCCAACGAAAATATATTCTTATAAATTCCAACGACAATTCCAGTAGATATTTCAATGTTATTATTTCCGTTGGAATTATTCCAACGAAAATTCCAACAAAAATATTTCGTTGGAATGAGTTTTCTATTGGAATTTCCGTTGAATTTTGACGATTTCAACGGTGGTGAAAATAAAAATTTCAACGAAAATTGCATGTTCCAACGGTGAAAAGTTGTTGGAAATATAGCCGTTGGAATCATCAATTTCATCTAAAATTTCAATGAAAAATACATTCCAACGTAATATTTTCGTTGGAATTTTCCATTGAAATATAACAATTTTTTTGTAGTTTGTATTATAAAAGGCGTACACATTGCTTTGTTTTTAAATGTGTATTATAGAGACCGGTTTGAGTTATTGCGTTACTAAGAATATATTCAGGTGACCATACCAGTATTTTTTATTTTTTTCCGGCAACGTTAGATTCGATACTCATATAAACACAAATAAACATTAATTACACAAATGATCTACTGATCAAACAAAGCACTTGGCCGAAAATAGATCACAACCAAGCCGGGCAAGCATTAGCCCATACCAGTATTTGTGTATATTGTTAAATGCTGAACTTTTGTTGACATATGATAATTGATAAGTAAACAAATCTCATAACAGCCAAACTGCCAAAAGATGCTGCCCT